TTCAGCTTTAGAAATAGCTCACCTGAAAGGGGGATAAGAAAATAAGAAGTTCGCTCCTGACTTCCCCACCACTCACCTGAAAGGGGGATAAGAAGACAAGAAACTCGTTCTTGACCTCCTCACCCCTTCAAGAGCTCCATCTTGCGAAATGGGGTTGATAATCTCAGCATGTAATGCTGCGAACAGACCAGAACACCCTGTTTACAGCTTACGGTGTCGTTCTAGTCTAGGCCTGTATTACAGCCCTAGACTAGAACGACACTGTAACGACTGCGGTCAAAGAAAAGTGAGCATTACATCATCTGATACCGTGGACTGTACTGGCTCATAGTTATCCTGACACTGAGCTTGCCCCTGATTGCAGACTAAGTTAGACCCTTGCCAGACAAAAAACTCAGAAGTGCTGTGGATACAAGCGAAAAAAGTTAGGGGTTGCCAGGGTAGCATGGAGGTGGTGGTAGGGAAAATTCAATCTGACAATGAGACCGGATTTATCATGGCGATTTACATTGGGATAGTCTGGCTCGTTATAAATACATCAACTTTGCTCAGCGGAACAGGAAGCATGAGGTGAGAGCGTGACATATGTCAAATCTCGACAGCTTTTACTTTTTTTCAGGAGTACCATGTGCCACTTGACACTTACAATCAAAGTCCAATCCCCACATTGTCCACTAGCAGTGTATCAAATGACCCGTATGCAAGCTTAATCCATTCACCACGCAGATGTGGATTTTACGTAAATTCCAAGCTCATAGGAAGAGGCTGGTTGGTATTTTCAGAAGGTTTCTCGACGAGATCGCGTTATTGAAACGTGGTGTAATCACTCGTGACACTCCAAAACACACATACAGACGAGGACTGTCAGCCGAAGATCCTAATGTTGGAGGAATACATGATGACAAGTGAGTTGCGATTATAGCTATCAGCAGATTACTGCTGCCGAAGGTTCACATAGCAGTTGGGTATTTTCGAGCAGAAATTCAAGTTGAGATCGAGCAGTAACACGTGCATGGTCCCTGGATCTGATCAAAACTCAGACCAAACATGCCAACCGAGCCTTGCATCCCTCCTGAATCGGAGAGTTGGTACGAGACTCGAGCAGGAGCGAGCCGGAAGGGAGTATGAAAGCTCTGACTTGTACATCGGCCGGGCACTGCTGTTCATTGTATAGGCCTAGTGCACATTCATAACGCCACAACGATCCTGAATGGATCTCGAATGCTAGGACTCATCTTCTTCTCTTCTCTACATTTCAGGCCCATCACCCTAGCGGAACTGAATACTCGCGGTTTGAGGATCGACAATGAGCACATTATATATGGCTTCCCAGAGAGGTTTTCAGCCTGTACAAACCATTCCATTCCCGTTTCTATGATCACATTTTTCCAGTTCTTGCGCCAAAGCGAGTGATGGAGGAACCAAGCCGCAAAGCTCGGGAACCAGTGTTTTGTCAGAGGATTCAACTAGAAATACAATTCGTAGCTTCATAGTAAGTCATGCCTTTTACGGAAAGTTTGTGACTTTCCCTCACTCACCTGCAATCGCGCCTGTAGGGATGGTCATGGCCCTAGAGAGAGGACATGCAGAGGAAACCATATTCGCAAATGAGTGAATGAAATGTGACCACCTCCCTGACACAGATGAACTAACAGTAAAAATAATGGCAAACAAATGACATGAGATCACATTCGATTTTCTGAATTCGAGCTGCTAAAGGGTGTTGTTAGGCTTGCAGTTACTGTAAGAGATAGACCTGGTTTTAGTAGTCGAATTCATGATACTGCTGCGAAGAAGAAATCTTTTCTTGCTTAAGCACATCAGAGGTTCCATGAGCAATACTAGTCTTAGTGAACACCATTCAGATTTCTCCGAAAAATGTGAAAGAGTTCAGTGTGGGATTCCCTGGTGAGAATGCAACGCTTCGAATAAGTTCGCTTTCTCGGAATGGAGAAAGGTTAGCGTTTCCTGCTCGATCCAAACTAGCTGTGTAACTATTGCCTTCGCTCAGTTATGAACTCAGCACCGGAGACGACGTCTGCGTTCTTCAGCAAAGACCTGAGGTTTGTTTTTTGTTACAACAGCTTTGTTTAGCTAATGAGCTATAATGCTAAGTTGCTTTCATTTCAGAATGTCGTTCTGATTACTTGGAAAAATTAATTTTTAATTTTGATAAGAGCATACATATTCAATAAACACTTTAGACATCCGTGAATAGTTTCTCATAACAGGAATGCATAGCAGACACATCCTCCTGAGTCCATCCGTATCTTATGGTGTCATAGTAACCTAGATTAGAGAAGGATTTGTTTTCTATTTGAAAGTGTGTATTAAGTTTAAAGGA